CCCCAGCCCGGGATTAAACAAATATTTTTGATCTTTAGAGATAATATGAGTCTCTTGTAAACAAATAATATCATTTCTGTGTTGTTTCAAATAATGAAAGATTTTCTTTCTCTTGTGTGGTGAGTTGAGCCCATTAACATTCCAGGTTAGAAGCTTTGCCATTCTTGGCAGGATGAAGCCTTTGGAACAAAACCTCTAGATTTGCAGACAATGACCTCTTTAGCCTTCCTCCTCCCACTGGCTCCGAAATAGACTGTGGTAAACTTCCATCATCTGCCTTTTGTTGTTGTTGTTGTTGTTGTTGTTGTTGTTGTTGTTGTCTTTCTCTACGTTTATAAGCAGCACATGTAATTCTCTGTTCCCTTGGGTCTTCTGTTATTTGCAAATTCCGTTGCATAGCTTCAACCAACAATTCTTCTCCCAAAGATGGCATTGAACCTACAGCCAACTGTGCTTCTGCCTTGCTCTCATCTTTCTTTGATCTTGGAGATGATGGTGGACTTGCTTTTAAAATAGTAACATAAAAATCTCTTGCTTTTGAAACTGTATTAAGACGATATCGTGTATCAACGTAAGTCACTATAAGGACCCACCCCACTTTGTATCTTAAGAAGACAGAACTCTTGGAATAATTCTTCCAACAGGCATCCTTTATTAAGAGAAAATGGTTGCAGGCGTTCTAGACAGGACTTGGGGTCCAAGCTCTCCCATTCAAGGTTTTAAGGGGTTTCCCAGTAGCCCCACCCAATCACCCCTACTTCCAGCGACAGTCTCAGGCATTACACTCCCACCCCCTTTTCCTTACTGCCGGCTGGATGGAGACTTCAGAGAAAACTACATGAAAGGTAATAGACCCCTTTGTTATGATTAGGCCTTTTGGTGCTATCCACATTCAGTTCCTTTGAAGTATACTGAAGGAAATGAGGGCCATAAAGCCCCTTTGTTCACCCCCTTCCCTTCATCGTATGACAGAATCCCGAGAAGGCAGAAATGGGTTTTCTATAGTTGATAACTAGAGATGAAATATAATTGGATTCTGACAGTCACCACTATCCCCACAGGTATATCCCATCTAAATTGAATCTGTCGCTTCTTAAGTTCTTCAGCCAAAAAAGCAAAGTCTTTTCTTTTTCTGAGAATTTTTGAAGGTATTTCCTTTAAAACTATCACATCCTGAGCTGCAATCTGAAATCTTTGTTTATAGAAGACCTGTATAATTTCATTACGAAATGATTTTCTCGTAAAATAAACCACCACATCTCTTGGTAATTTCCTCTTTTTTGCAACCCATGAATTAACTCTAAAAATCGTTTCTATATCTTTCAGCATTTCTTCAGGATCGATTTCCAAAACAGAAGCCAGTTCTGCTGCAATTTCTTCTCTCAAATTCTCCTGAATATTTTCCTTCAGGCCTCTTATTCTCAAAGCATACTCCATTTCTCTATATTGAGACATTATAATTTCATTCTGTGTAACATCCACATTTTCTTCTATTTTTTCAATTCTATCTTGTAATATTTCAACATTACCAACCACTTCACCCGGTCGTCAATCTTTTCCACAAGGCCAGCAAGCCCTTGGAGTGCCAAAACAATATCTTTCCTGAGCTCATTACTTTCTTGAGCCAGGAGCTCTGCTGTTTTTTCTAATGATTTTTCCAAAGTCTTATCTAAAGCATCTTGTAAATCTGAAGTGTAAGTGCCTGAGGTGGGGGCGAAGGTGGAGAAGGTTTAGGTTTAGGTTGTTGTACAGTCTGAGTTACTGAAGAGGCAGTTGAAGTTTTAGAAAGAGAAGAAAGTCCAGGATGTTTTGAAGCCATTTTTAAAAAAGGGAGGGTTCCCCCCCCTTCCTTTTTTCAAAAAAATGGTAAAATAAGAAAAAGAGAAGGAAAAAAAATTCCCTTTAAAAAAAAGGAATAAAAATTTTCTTTTAAATAAACCAAGTCTATTACATTGTTGAAACTTTGTTGCCAGTTAAAAAATAGTAAGTAGAAAATAGAGAAAATTCTAGACAAAGAAAGTAACAAAAAAGGAGGATTCCTCCGCCATATTTCTTCACTCCAATTAAAGTAGTAATAGGAGTAGATGTTAATTCAAACTGAGTTAGGTTTAAAATAAAATCATCCAATTCTTATCTTCCTGACCGCTCTGTCTGCTTTAGGTTGACTTACTGTTCCCATCAGATAGCAGCAGTGAAGGCAGCATCTAGCTTCGTTCTCTTCAGAGAACAAAGGCATCCGAGGAAACGGAGCAACAGACTCTGAGGGAGCTCTCACTATTCGTCTCCCAGAAAAACAAAATGGGAGACTTGTGAGGTTCTACCTCTATCCAGGCAGAAGCTCACCTTCCTCCCTTCGCCCAGGAGGAAGGTTTCAAGCCGCAAAACAGCTGATCATCGCTGTTTTTGCTGGCTTTTATGATTTCCCAGGATGGGCAGCTGTTAAACAGCAGCCATCGGCACGGTGCAGCCACAGGAAGTTTGATAGTATTTTTTGATAAGATACAAAATGTAAAAATATTGGGATGATGAAAGTGAAAGAAAAGTTTGAACTTTAAAGACAAATTAAGTTTGAAAAGATTTAGGATTAAGGAATGATTGAAATAATGAGGGGAAATTAGGCTTAATAAGAACTTTGAAAAAAGGATATATAGTGATTCAATCAATTTTTATGAATAGAAGTGAAATATAAATTGATTAGAAAAGATGTTATAGGTAGATGTTATTTTACATTAGTAGCATAGTATTTCTATAATATATGAAATATGAAAATACTGGGATGATATATTTAAGTGGAAAAGAAACAAGAGGAAGCAAGTGCTGTAGGAGCGTCTAAACAAGTGGAGAAGAACTTAAAAAGACCTATCCAGAGGAAGGAGCAAGACCGAGAGACCAGAGGCAGATAACTTCCCCTAGAAGACTATGGCCCAGATATAACTGAAGCCACGGAGGAGGTTGGAATTTTCTTAGTAAATATAAATGGTTTGAATTCTCCCTCAAAGAGAAGAAGTTTTTTTAGTAGACTACAAAAGCTAAAAATGGACATAATTTGTCTCCAAGAGACACAATCAAGAGACAACATTCTAGAATCTTAGAACAACCAAAAATGGGTAAGCTTTATTTCTCCCTGGCACTTCAACAGAAAAGAGGTATAGCTCTTTATATAAAAGAAAAGATGAACCCAAAACAAGTTTACGCAGATGAAGAAAGGAGAATATTAATGGTGGAAATTACTTTGAATCAAAAACAGATATTGATGGTTGCAATATATGCACCTAACGACAAGCAAGACCATTTCTATCATCAATTACATAATAAAATAGAGGACTTAAACTACCAAACCTTTGTACATTGGGAGACTTTAATTCAATAGTTGATACAACCCAGGTCTATAAAAGCCATAAACAAGGATTATTCTAAATGTTTTGGAATACTATGAAAACCACCCAGGGAAACAGATGGCACTGATATTTCTTGATACACAAAAAGCTTTCGATAACTTAAATTGGCAATTTATGTTCCAAGAGTTGACGGAAATGGATTTCAGCGAAAACTTCATAAATGCAATCCAAGCAATCTATAATAAACAAACAGCAAGGATACTTTTGAATGGAGACTATACAGTCTGCTTGCCAATTATTGTTGGGGGCAACTCCATTTTTGTACCGAACCTTACCTCCACCCCACCCCTGAACCCTACCCAATATCCATACTGATCCCATCCTTTATTTATCTTTGTAAAACCTAATAAAATATTTATATAAAAAAGAAAGAAAATTTGAGAAAATTTTTGATAAGAATTGTTTGAATATTATGGAGAAATTGATCTTAAACAAGATTTATGAAAATGAGATATATGGTGAATCAATGATGACATTTATGAAAATAACAGAAGCTAATAAGAAAAAAAATGCTATATATGGACACTATTGTTGGTATAAATATAGAAGACTGCTCAGTAACTTAATGGTATCACTGCCAGTCAGATTACGTTAATCAGTTGAAGTAAGAAGAATAGTTCAGATGAGCTTCTACAAAGGATGGACATTTAGAAGCATTTGGTCCAGAGTCTGATCTTGCTGTACTTCATTATTAAGCAAAATATATGGCCTCGTGATGGGGAGAATAGGGGGCAGAAGGAGTGAAAGTGGGGAAGAGATTGATGAAAATGGAATTTACTTTATGAGTTTGGATGGGAAGTTGAAAACATTAGTATTTAGTTCACTAAAAATAGTTTGAGCCAACACTGATGGCAATAAAATCCCTACATACCGGTTTTGATATTTGTTTCAGAAACAATGACCTAGATATTGCACGCTGTATAATGCAACAAATCTAACAGAATGGGAGCTAGGTTAAATCCAACAGATTTATTTTACCAGTTTGGACAAAAATCAATGGCCATCTCATACAACATTTTTTAAAGACCACCTTAACACTAAAAAACCCTCCCCAACTTTTTTCTGAATGCATCTTATATTAATAAGTTATCTTCCTCTATTGAAGTCAGTTGCCAAATAAATAGAAACACGAAAGGAAGCTGATCATATTTGGGATTATATATTTTTAACTGGCTAGTTTTGCTGATATGAATAAATGTATCAATTCATACTATTATTACAAATAAAGCAATAGTCTTCCCCATTTGCACCAATCGGGCCTTCTTCGCTCACTCTCTACTTGTGACCTGCTTGTACATCTACAGTTAATAATTACATGCAGATATCAGAACCCATATCTCTCTCTTCCTCTCTCCCAAATTCCATTCTCTTGTCTCCCTGGGTTCTGCCATAGTCCTAGAGGAGAGGGGGGAAGGATCACAGGATTATTGCCTTAGCTTCCTCTATCGCTACAATGTAACACTTTGTAACACTCTACTTTTGACTTGCTTGTACATCTATAGTTAATAATTACATGCATGTTTACTCCTGTAACTAGAGGTTTAAAGCGAAAAAGACACTTAAAACTCCATCCACCCTTTGGTCCATTGTCCAGGCTCTTACCGTAAGAAAGCTGTAGTATCAGAACTTTTGCTAGCACTCTGATCAGCACCATAGCTTCAATGCTGTGTGGCAAGCTGTTTGCCTGGAATTTAGAAATGGGAACAATTTTGGCAAGAATGCACAGTTCAAAATATTTGATTAATCACTTTGTTCTCTTCCACTTCGAGGCAGAAGGACAGATGTGGAAAAAATGCCAGTTTCTCACCTTCTTGATCAAGCAGCACTTTATTTGACCAAATTAAGCAGCTGGTTGCCCTAATATGTGATTAATGCAGTCTATGTGAGATGTTGGTGCAGAATTCACTTCAGCTTTAGGACATAAAAGAGATTTTTTTTCTTTTAACTGGAAATATTTTGAAACCTAAAAAAGCCAGGGCAGTTAGACCATATAAAGACAACCACACGTTCAGTTGACCCATTTGTTTTGGTGGTATGGAAAAATGACTGTTTCTGTATTATGAATACTGTGGGCAACTGATATTAACCTAAGTCCAACAATTTTCAGGGTTGTGAGACTGGTTTGAAAACACTCCACATTTTCCATTCTAGGATCTAGTTTTGGAAAACGAGATCAGGAAAGCTGGCTATGCACAGCATTGGATGGACGCTCTCCACAGCTGTAATTTGTTTGATTTTGATTTGTTTAAAGTTAGTCTTAACCTTTAAATTTCATCCTCTCCAGCCACCTGGACTTCAACTCCTAAAATTTCCCAGTAAGGATGGTAATTGTGGAGAATTAGGGAAGTTGAAGTCTGTACAACTGGGGGGAGGATATCCAGCTATGGTACCGGACTGGCTCAGGAATTCTGGGAGTTGAAGTCCACAAATCATAAGGGGAGCCATAGTTCCCCACCTCTGCTCTACATACAGATGTGCTTTTGGGGTTGGGACCCAACAGGAAAATGAGGGGCAGAGTACAGCATCCTTGCTCCCGTTCTTCCGGTGCTGCTCTAGCCTCCCTGTTGCTGATTCCGGTATCTTGGTGGCCTGTTCTGCAGGTGAAAGTCACTTTGAGGAAGCCGCTGCTTCATCAGCCTCGTTGCGGTGAGAAGCCGGGACTCACTCCCAGCCAGCAGGGGAGAGGAGCCTGGCTGCTCCGGGCCTTCTTTCCATCCTTGGGAGGGATCCCCGGCAGTCCCGACCCTTGGGAAGAGTGCAGGAAGGCCCAGTGCGCAAGGACCCTCCACCCCGAAGGGGAAACCTACCCATCTGGGTCTTTGGGTAGCAGTCTGTGTCCTCCTGGCCATTGGCACGTCACTTTTGGAGATGGGTAGAGATGGGAGGAAAAAGAACCTGGAAAAATGAGGAAAAAACAGTTCTCCCCCCCCCTTTTTCCCCAAAATGATTTGGAAAAAAATGAAGGGGAAGCCCTCTCCCCCCCCCAATTTTTCCAGTTTTTTTCCAGGCCTTCCCATTTCCAGGGGTGAGGAAGGTTGGAGTCCAGTGGATGCGGTGGCAGCAAGAGAAGGAGGCCGGGGTCCTTCGGGAGGTTTGGACGCCAAACAGCCACACTTCTGGTTCTGTTGATGGGGAACCTGCCTTGCCTTCCCCAGGCATCCATGGAGAAAGGGGCTCATGCAGACAGTCCTACTTTCCTTGGTTGCCTCCCCTTTTTATTCTTGGCACCCCCACCCCCCAACTACTACAAAAATGGGGGCTCAGGGAGGGAAGGAGGGAGGGAGGGGGTGGAGGAGGTCAGTTTGGGTGAAATCTGCCCTCTCAATTTTTCCTGGGCAGAAGACGTTCTTTCCACTCAGACCAAGCCCTTTGTGGCCTCACCCAAAAATAGTCTTCTCTATAATACAGGTAGTCCTCAACTTAATGACCACAGCTGAGCCCAAAATTTATGTTGCACAAGTGAGAAATTTGTTAAGTGAATTTTGCCCCATGTTATGACTTTTCTTGCCACATTTGTTAGCGGATCACTGCAGTTGTTAAATTAGAAAATTAGTTAAGTTGGTAACACTGTTATTAAGCAAATCTGGCTTCCCCCACTGACTTGGCTTATCAGAAGGTCACGAAAGATGATCATGTGACCCCGGGACACGGTGGGCAGGTCACATCTGTATTTCTTGCAATAATGCTCTGGATCCATTCAGTATAATCGAAGCCCTTGGTGTAGACACTAGGCTTAAGACTTTGGCCACAAGGATGCACCCCCCAAGATACAATGTCTTCGAATTCTCCATTACAGATGAGTGGTCCCCCAGAGTCACCCTGTTGAGAAAAATCAAACATGAAACATTACTACAGTATCTATGAATGGGAAGTGGAGCAAACAATTCCCTCCCATCGTCCATTCACATATAGCCCCCAATGTTTCACTTCCGTGTTCCCCAATCCAGGATCCTTGTAGAAGAATTTAACTCCTTGTGTTACCCCCACCAGAATCACCAGTATTGGGAAGTCTGAAAATCTAGACACCTGGAAGGCACTTGAGTTAGAAAAAGCCGTAACTTTGTATGTTTCTACAAGATGCCTTCAAGGCTAGATCTGTGTCATAGTTTTGAAAATTGGCATCATTTCTTTAGGAGTCTGTCTTAAAACGGATCATCTTACCTTACATGAATCTTTGCCTCCTTGCAGGATACCTGCACACAATGTTCTGCTTGTTGCTGGCAACCCTCCGTGAGCTGTTCGACACACCTCATAATCAAGTATGTTAATGTTAGCACAATGAGCGACATCGGGATAAGTCTCCGAAAAAAAATTAAAAATAGGCAAAATTCTACCTTTCACAATTTACCACCTAGATGCATAGATCTATAATTTCCATTGTCTCCAACCAGTGGAGCTGATCTCATTGCCTGGAATAGGAAGTGTTGTCTTTCAAAGCCATTCAAAGGGACTCCTGGGAAATAGAGATTTAGTTAAATGTTTTTGTCAAGATATTAATAGGTCTTAAATCAGCTGATGGACATTTGAAGGCTTCTCAAATTTCTCTGACACTCTAAGCAAAGATTGCCTTGTTGGAATAGTAGTTCTTTTGCTAGTTCAAAAGTCACAGAACTGATCTTGCATCCCCTGGAGATGATCTAGAACGGGGGTCTCCAAAGTTGGCAACTTTAAGACTTGTGCACTTCCACTCCCAAAATTCCTCAGCCAGCATACTAAAACTTCCATATCTCAAGAAGAAACAGACCCATAAGTTTGTATTGTGTACAAGAACAAAAAGCCATGAATCTTGTCTAAAAGATCCCTTGGGGAGGACAGATGAGGTGGAAATAAGTCTAAGGAAATAACGGAAAAAAGTCATCTGAATCAGACAAAGTTGAGCCTAAGAATATGGAATAAACCGCAATCCCAGCTAATCAACAAATCAAGAACTTTTCAGGATAAAAAGGGGTCCTAAAGCTCACCCACTCCTTGAGTCATCTTTGGATCCACAAGGTAGGAGTTCCTGTCCCTCTAGCTCAGGCATGTCAAACTCACGACATCACATGATGTCGCCAGTTTTGTCATTGCCGGCAATGGGGTGGATGCAGCTTCCACATGATGTGTCCGGCCCACGGGCCGGCAGTTTGACACCCCTGCTATAGCTGGTGCCTGGCAGCCTAATTGAGAAGGATGTGTCTAAACATGGATGGGTGCATGTGTGCTTTTAAGAAAGAATAAATTTACATTGCAAGCAGTAATGTTTTGCTGTTACTTTAAATTCACTGGGTCTCCATGTATTTCAAAAAAACCTGTGGTGCTTTAGTGGTTAGTTGAAAATTATTGGTGTGAGTCCTTACTTATTTCCCAGCTCTTGACCAAGTGAAGCCCTCGTACAATGGTTTTCTTTGGGTATCAGATATTGTGAGAACACAACATCTGTTTTGTATCTGAGCATAGGCTTCTGTTGAACCCAGCTAATGTGTATAAATCTTCAATACTTAATACTAAAGTAAGTGGCACACTTTATCACATGTGGCATGTCCTTTTTATTATTGTTTTTCTGTCTGCAGGCAAGATACCTTTGTTCCTTTAATTCCCCCCCCCTAATCGTTTTAGGAAAGGTGCCCTTCTGTTCTGTAAAGTGTCATGAAATCTTAATTAAAGGGACACAACTAGCAATTTAATGAAAACCTATGCTTTCTTCCCATTATTCAATTGAAATATTTTAGGAGCTGGGTAGATGCAAGTTTCTTTCCAACTGCATCTAGATTGAACTAAGAAATAAGCAAGATGTTTATTTAGTCATCTGTTCATGGTTCAGATGTTTAATTTTTTATTAATCTGATTATCCTATCAACCACACCCATTTTTATTATTTTGAGTCAAAGCCAGCAAACAGAACTGCAGAATAAAGTATCTGCTTCCAATTTCTTGACATGTGAGCATTCTGAGACCTTATGTCATATATATCATTTCTGTTCAGTAGGCTAGAATATATATCTAGAACTGATTTGCTAAAATCTAGCTTGTCTGCTGTAAAGTTTAAGGATGAAACCGTATCTCCAGTCTGTTATCAGAAGTTTTTTTAAAAAACGGAGAGGCATATTAATGTATTAGATTAAAATAGCTGTTGGTCACTGGCAAGGATGCCAAGGCTTTTTTCTATTTTGCAGGAAGAAGTTCCATACATATTTCTACAGCTGATGTGAGCAGAAGATTTAATTTGTTTCACTGATTGCAGCTAGGAGAATCAGATTGTACCAGGAGTCCTTGACAGGCAACTCAGTTGTTAAACAAAACTGTTACTAAGTCCAATCACATGATCACAAATCTGCTAGTGATTGTACTTAGCTTTCCTTTCCTTTATAGCAGGGGTCTTCAAACTTGGCCCTTTTATGACTTGTGGCTGAGGAATTCTGGGAGTTGAAGTCCACAAGTCATAAAAGGGCCAAGTTTGAAGATCCCTGCTTTATAGTGTCCAAAGAATACTATCCCAAATATCTGGGTGAGGACAAAGGGTGGGAAAGGAAGCCAAGTAAAAGGGTAGCTCTTGCAGCCCCTTCCCCCATTCCTCTGTCCTTTGGAATGCTCACTCCAGCACTGAGATAATTAGAAAAGTATTAATGTTTGTATTTACATTCATTATAGAGGAAGGGATTACAAGAGAGTAAGAAGGCATATAATAGGGAGTAGACAATGATTTGTGAGCAGGGTTCTTCTTAGAATAAAATATCTAGGGCAATCCTGTATTAAATTCTTTGGGGAATAAAATTGCCATGGGGAAACCTGGTCTTTTTCCTAAGGAAATGTCTTCTAATAGTTGACATTTTGAAGCACCAGGATATATCAATTTCCTGATTTCATATCCCTTTTCAGAAAATGTCTGAATCCATTAGAAGCAAGATAGAGAACTACAAAACAGCTCCATTTGACAGTAGGTCCCCCAATCAAAATCAAACACGGGGCTGCTGGCAGAACTACCTTGATTAGTATAATTGATCCATGTGAATGTTTGCGTCTCTGCATTAAGGATAAGAAAAAAGATTTCATATTCTGAAATCTTTGTAAAACATGTTTTTCTCTGTTGAAGTAAAAATAATACAAATGGTAATGCTGTCTCTTCCTCCTATATTTAAAACACTAGTTACATGATGAACAATAATGTCTTTGGGTTTAATAAATTATTCTTTTAGTTTTAACACAGTACATTTAATAAATAAAAAAATAAATATGCAAGCAAGAATTTTGAGTTGTGGGGATTTGATAACTTTTATTTTCTGGTTAGGCTGATTGTATAACACTGTATTGAATCCCCACTAACTTTTTCCATAGCAACAATTGATTGGAGATTGCGAAAACACAGGACAGATGATATATCATCATCATCATAAAATGTATTTGGATGTGTTGGAGAGTGAAAGGGTGGATACAGGGAGGTTTTTGTTTTTGTTTTTGGTAGACCCAGGTGTTGGACAATAGGCTTGTAGATTCTTCAGGCTTATACAAAGTTCTGTTTGAAGGGCTCTTCTGGATCCTAGATTAGATGTATTTTGAATTTTTTTTTTCCTGGTAGATTTCCATCGCTGTGAGAAAGCTGTGAATGCCAAAGGCTCTGATCCCTATGTCTGTCAGTGGTATAAAAAAGTATACTCATCCTTGTGCCCTTCTTTTTGGGTAAGTAAATTATGTAAGTCTGTCTAAAGTATTTTTGTACAAGAAACCAGTTGGGGGCAAAGGAAGACACTCAGTAAAAGATCTCTCCCTTTTCAGTGGGTCAGCCATAAAGGGTCGGACCAAAATACTTTGGAGTAAAGCATTAGAATCCCTGGCATATTAATCATGGGTGTTGCAGTTCCAGTACATCTGGGAAACAATTGATTACCAACTCCACGCCATCAAAAACCTCCATTCAGAATTGTATTCAAAGGATTTCTTTCAGGACATAACTGAGAAGCATCATTGTATGGAAGAGTTACAGTTCTAATGGGATAACTCTTATTGAGAAACGGTGATCAAAGGAAGACTAATGTATGTACTTGTGAGTCCTTTGAAGCAATTCAGAAGAAAGGCCTTGCCCCCCCCTCCCCCCCCCCCCGAAAAATAATAACACCCCACTTAACTCGGATTGAACTGATGTCTCTGAGCCGGCTTTTGCATAGCCTCTTCTGCAGATAACATCTCTCCTCAATTCTCCAAAATTTGCTTAATCCACTTTTCCTTACCCATCCACTAGCAGTCAGTAGTAGAGAATTACAGCATTTTCCTTTTTTTTTTCCCCACAGCACTGTTTTGGAGAGGTTGATCTCTTCGGAACGCCCTTTTTTTTTTTTAGGAGACTTGATTTACAGTAGGTCATAGCTGAAATCTCTTGAGCATCATTTGAATGCTGTTCCAGAACCTTTCAGCTGAAGAAGCATCTCAGTGTAGAGATGGTTAAGTAATGCTGGGCTTCTGCCTAATGCTTATCATTTTCCCCTTGTCAATTTGTCTGCTGTGGGTATAGAGTTGCCATTGCTAGCAAAACATCCACATTGCAAATTCCAGATGGATGTGCATATTTTGCTGGGCTGTTTCAGGTCTGCTTTGGCTACATCCTATGAGAAGACCCCTAGGAGACTTGCTGTGAGACTGGGCAGATCCATCCAGGAAACCAGCACTGGCATTTTTAGCAGCAGCCACACCATGAAATATCCATCTAGGAATCTCTTCTTAGAGATTCCAAAAAAGACTGATTATTTGCTAGAAAACAAGTAATGTTCTAATTGGCAGACCAACAGCTCTCTTTTGAGCTTTGAACCTCTTTGGAGTCCTAACACAATGTTATTCTTGCTGTTATGTCCTGGGCCTGCTAAGTCATTCAGCAGGTTCAGGAGGCTGCAGAACACCCGGGCAGACCACGTGGATGCCCGGGACCAGACAGGCTGTCTCCAGCCCTGCACACATGTACAAGGCGGGAGAAATACAATGCATTTATTGGTTGATACTGGCCCTGCAAAGGGGGGTATAAAAGGCATGCTTGCCATTTTGTTTTGGTTCTGTTGTAACGTGAATAAAGACAGGACTGTTTTTTATTCCTGCTTCGTCTCAATTCCTTTTACTGGAAAACAGAATATTGGCGACGAAGGTGGGATTTACTGCAAGGGGAACATTGAAAGAAGATAGGCTGATTCACCATGAGCGGCCTGAAGCGCTGGGAAGTTCGGCGTCCGGAGAATGCGACTCTGCCTGTCAATACAAGAACACTGGAGGAGAGCTCGGCAAAAGGGACCCCTTCTCAACCTTGCAGCATGAGCCTTGACAAGGCTACCAGGCAGTAACAATGTCCAAACTAGGCCGTCTCTCAGAATTTGACATAGCTCATCTGGAACGCTGGAGTTCCTACATGGCCTGAGTAGAGAACTACTTTCGGGTAAACCAAATCCAAGAAGACAGTCTTAAAGCTGCTACACTGCTGTGTGTCTGTGGGCAAGAGACTTTCGATATAGCAGAGAATCTGGTGACCCCAGCATCACTTGAATCAACTGCTTATGCTGAGCTTAAAAAAATGCTGCAAGAACATTTTGAACTGAAACTTTCAGTGATTGCATGGTGACACACGTTTGAGCAGAGGGACCAGAGGCCTGGTGAGTCTGCTGCGGACTTTATTGCTGCGTTACGGCAAACAGCTAGGCCATGCGAATTCAAGGACCTGGAAGTGAGACTTCAGGATCATTTAGTTTGTGGACTGAGACTTGTGAGCTGCAACAAAAGATCTTCGCAAGGGAAGACATCTCTTTCTAAGATGCTTTGAGAGAGATTGCAGCTGAAGACGCAGCAGGCGGAGCTGTGAAGGCCTTGCAGCTTGCCAAGAACCCTCCAATTTTGACAGCCGTCCATCAAGAGGTCATTCAAGAAGAATCCAAACAGGAGCCAGAGATGGAGGTGGACCGACTACAGCAGCCAGTGAAGAGAAGGCCTCAAGAGCACAGAGACAAAACATCCTCATTCCCTCGGTGTTTCAGATGTGGAGGACGCCACAAGCGCTCCGATTGCCATTTCCGCTCCGCCATTTGCCAGGCATGTGGTAGGCAAGGCCACATTGCCTCCGACTGTTTGGGTAATCAGAAGGACCGGTCTTTGGAAGAATTGCTTCAGAAAGGTATCAGGGTTCCCATCCAGAACAGGGTGGGTTTTTGCGCATCCCGTAAAAGCATTTTTAAAACTGGGGCCCACAGGCTGCACAGGAAGAAGCTTCACATTGACATGGAGTTTCAAGGGGTTCCTTTATCGATGGAGTTGGACACAGGGTCCGCTTTATCAATCATTTCTCTAGATCAGCAGTTGTCAACCTGTGGGTCGCGACCCTTTTGGGGGTCAAACAATGCTTTCACAGGGGTCACCTAAGACCATTGGAAAACACATATTTCCGATGATCTTAGGAACCGAGACACTAGTGAGAATTTCTGCTCAAGGCTAGCTCCGTGAGCCAGCTCGGGCAGACAGGAAAGCAGCCACCTCAGCAGCATGGCGGGACTGCGCTACCCATCGCAGAACAGCTACTGCCACGTCGCCACAGTTATGAACCTCCTGCTCAGCATCTTTCAGGTCCTCTTGCCTGGCTTCCGTCTGGGAGAAGTGCAGGGCCAAGGTAAAAAAAAAGCCTGGCGAAATACTCCCAAGGGGTAGCGTTGATCTGTAGCAGGAGGTGAAGGGGGCGGGTGGATGGATAGGTGTCAACAAGAAGGGAACCAGGTCTGATAAGGGTGAAAGTTGAGTGAGGTTTTCCCCCTCGCCCCTCTCTCCGCCTCCCTTTGTGCAGCGGCATCTCTGGCTGCTACCTTCCCAGTCGCCGAGAAAGGAAAAAAAAAGAGCCATGAGCGAGTTCCCCTTTCTGCCTCATTGCTTAAAGCTTTTTTTTTAAATGACCACTCATTCAGAATTCCTTGGGGCTTATTTGCATGAGCCTGTGGCAGGTCAGTAAATAAAGGGGTGGGGGAGCCAAACTGTCCAAGGCATTTGCACCCTGAACATGTGGACGCTGCTTTCATGACTTGCTACCACTGCCCCCTCTCTTCCCGCCCTGCTCTGGCAACGCGCTGCTGCTGCTGCTGAGCTGAGCTGTGGCGCCAAGCCAATCTCCATGCCTCCTGGTTGCCAGGCCGTGCTCCATCCCTGGCCACCCTCTGTGCCGTGCCGGAGCCTCCCCCGTGCCACCCGGCCCACCTCCCTTACCGTCAGAGGCCGCCTCGGCCCTCTGGTGCCCAGCGTGGCCCTGGAACTGGCGGGTAGGGGCGGCTCCTTCTCGGCTCGCTGGGCTCTGGGCCTCAGAAGCAGCCAGGCGGTAGCGATGCCCACATATGCATCAGAGGCCAGCCGGTCGGGCCAGGAAGTGGTGTCTTCCAAGCGGGAGCTGGTGCTCCAGCCATGCTCCTCTCGCGTGTGACGAGTTGGGAAAGGGTCATGGTGGTGAAGGGCTGTGTGATGTGGAAAGGGGCTGCTGCGACCCCGCCACTGCGATGGCACTCAGGAGGCTGGAGGGGCGGGCAGGTCCCAGGGGGGTCGCTGGGAGAGGGCAAGAATGGGGAATGCTGGGAGTTGCAGTTCATCACCATCTGGAAAAACATGACTCCAAAGATCAATCCTTCCTTCCTTCCTTCCTTCTTTCCATCCATCCATCTCCTTCTCTTCCCCTTCAATCTCTCCTTGCTTCCTTCCTTCCTTCCTTCCTTCCTTCCTTCCTTCTTTCCTTCCTTTCCCCCTTAATCTCCTTCCTTCTCCATCTCCTTTTTCCCCCTTCAATCTTCCTTCCTTCCTTCCATCTCCATCTCCATCCCTTCACCTTCAATTTCTCTCTCCTTCCTTCCTTCCTTCCTTCCTTCCTTCCTTCCTTCCTTCCTTCCTTCCTTCCTTCCTTCCTTCCTTCCTTCCTTCCTTCCCCTTCAATCTCCTTCCTTCCTTCCTTCTCCTTCCCTCCCTCCCAACATTTTTGAGCAAGGAAGAGTAAGCTTCTCCAGCGAGCATTGCTATATTGTTTTTGTGATTAATCACTATGCTTTAATTATGTTCAATTCATAACAATGAAAATACACCCTGCATATCAGATATTTACATTATGATTCATAACAGTAGCAAAATTATAGTTATGAAGTAGCAATGAAAATAATTGTATGGTTGGGGGTCACCACAACATGAGGAACTGTATTAAAGGGCCGTGGCATTAGGAAGGTTGAGAACCACTGCTCTAGATATTTTCAAAAAGATTTGTTCTAGAAGTGGCCTAAGAGTTAAACTCTGGCCTTTAAATTTAATTCTCACTTACTTCCAGAATTCCCGAGTCAGCATGAAAGGGGAGGCCATGCTCAAGGTGCAGCATAAGCAGTTTGAAAGTTTGCTAGATGTGGTGGTAGTTGGGGGTGATCGTACAAGTCTTATTGGACTCGATTGGTTCGAGGCCCTTGGAATCCAAGTGACTGGACTTCACGTCTGCAAACAACAGGCCTTGCAAAAGTTTGCAAGGAGTTTGCTGATGTGTTCAGTTCAGAGCTTGGCTTGGCTCATACAAGGGGCTTCCCATTTCTTTACGTTTAGACCCAGCCGTTGCACCCACTAGGATTAAGCCTAGATGGGTGCCCTTCGCATTGAAGAATAAAATTAATGCAGAGCTGGACAAGCTGCTCCAGCAGGGCATTTTAGAACCTGTGTTTCTAAAATGTAGTAACGCCACTGGAGGCCAATGGAGAACTCTGAATTTGTGCAGACTATAAGTGCACACTTAACAAAGCATTGTAGCAGCACTCATACCCGGTGTCCCAAGTCCAAAAGCGAACTCCAGGTTTTTCTGGGACTGTTAAACTTTTATCATTCATTCCTCCCTCACAAGGCTGCAGTGGCTGAGCCGCTACACCGGCTCTTGGATAAACAGGCTCCATGGCTATGAACAAAAGTCCACGAAAGGAGTTTTTGCAGAAGTCAAGGCCTTCCTATCTTCAAATGCGGTTCTAGCGCATTTCAATGAGCAATTGCCTATATGCATAGCCTGTGATGCATCCTTTTATGGGATTGGGGCTGTGTTAAGAAACTTGAAGGCTAATGGGACACAAGTCCCTGTAGCCTACTATTCTAGGACCCTATTATCTGATGAACACAATTACGCGCAGATAGATAGGGAAGCCTTGGCCATAGTGGCTGGCATAAAGAAATTCCATGACTTTCTTTATGGCCGCCATTTCACGGTCTTTATAGACCATGGGGTTGTTTACAACTAACAGACTGGGGTTGTTTACAACTAACAAGCAAATCCCACACATCATCTCTCCTAGAATGCTGAGATGGTCTATTTTCCTTTCTGCATATGACTACACACTGGTTCACAAACCAGGCAAAGAAATAGCCATGCAGATGGCCTCAGCAGGTTATCTCTTCAACGTGCTACTTCAACTTAAGCTACTTAAGACCTGGCTTTTCCGGCAGGCCTGGGGTTTATAAAACCTTACCCCTGGATGATTGTTTTTGTATTGTTGTTTGGTATGTTTTATGTGTTTTTTTATTGTTAGCTGCCCAGAGTCCTTTGGGAGTGGGGCGGCTTATAAATTTTAAAAATAAAAATAAAATAAAAATAGTGGATTCAGATCCTGCTCCAGCTCATTACATACTTTCCATTCAGGAGTGGCCTGAGTCTCCCCTCAATGCTAGAGATGTGGCTGCAGAAACAGCCACTGATCACACACTAATACATGGGTGCTGTCGGGATGACCTGACACATGTCCTGACACAGAGTTTCAGAGTTTCTGGAAGAGGAAGCATGAGCTATCCACCTTCAAGGGGTGTGTCCTATGGGGTAGCAGGCTAGTCATCCCAGCCTCATTGAGGACTAGAGTCTTGTTCTCTCTGCATGAGGGACATCCAGGAATAGTCCGGATGAAGGCGCTGGGCTCGATAAAGAGATCGAGGCCCAGGTCCATGGGTGTAGTGTTTGCCAGCAGTCTAGGCCAGAAATGCCTCAAGCTCCTGTACATAGGTTGGAGGAGACACAAGCCCCTTACCTGAGGGTTCATATCAACTACACTGGGCCCTTTCAGGGGCAATTCTTCCTTCTTCTCGTGGACAGCCATTCCAAGTGACTAGAGGTCATTCCTGTCTCCTTCACTACTACTGCCAGGACCATCCAGGTGTTGAGAGGAATCTTCACTTCTCATGGACTTCCAGATGTCCTTGTTTCCGACAACGGATCCCAATTCACTTCTTCTGAGTTTCAGGCTTTTCTACAGGCCAACATGATGGCATGACAATTGGCATCACATTGGCTGACTTTCTTTTGTGCCACTGCAAAACACCTTGCACAGCTACTGCAAAAGCCCAACTGAACTCCGCTGGGGTCGCAGACTCATTAGTAAACTGGACAGGTTGCACCCAGACCGGGTAGCTTCACAGGTGTCACAGCCGTGGGCACCTAGGAGACTTCAGGTGGGCGATCCGGTCTGGACAAGGAACTATGGGCCTGGACATATCTGGGTGACAGCTGTGGTATACAAGGTCTCTGGGCTGCTGTCATATGAAGTGGCCTTGGACGATGCTCGCACATCGAACAACTGTGCTGGGGACGTCCCAGCCACACTTCCACTCCTGGTTCTGGTCTCGGGGGGGAGGAGGACCACGATTACGATCATGGGCCACAGTCTCTCCATGAAAGCAGAACTTCCCAGGCATCAGAAGAGGGTCTTGCCATGGAGGCGACTCCTGACTCTGGCACTCCTGACTCTGGCACCGGGTCAATGGGACATTCTTCACAACCAGTCTTTCAGGCCAATCCATCTGCTGGTCTTGGGCTCAAGGGACAGTGCTCCCATTGTGGACTTGGGGAATTCCACCCCACCAAGGAACTCTGGTCTAGGTTCAGAGGATCCAGCCAGTCAGCAGCATGGGAGGTCGCCTGAGTCCAGGGGGCTTCACAGTCCTGGCCTGTTGAGCCTGGCAGGAGAGTTTGCAGGCCAGGACATCACAACCACTCCAAGAAGGTCAGAGTGAGCAAGAGGACCACCCAAACACTTACAAGACTACGTAAGATGCCTGTCAGCAAGTGGACAGGTTTAAGGTTACTTAGAAATCAAAACACGCTCAAAAGAACAAGTGTTCAGTTATAGTCATGCACAATAGTAAATATCCGTGTGGGAGAGATAAAGGAGTGACAGGGTATTATCTGTGTAATATTAAAGTATTATGTTTTGAAATAAGAGGGGAGAGATATTATGTCCTGGACCTGCTGAGTCATTCAGCAGGTGCAGGAGGCTGCAGAAGGCCGTGGATGCCTGGGACCAGACAGGCTGTGTCCAGCCTTGTGCACATGCACAAGGTGGGAGAAATATGTTGCATTTATTGGTTGACACTGGCCCTGCAAAGGGAAGTATAAAAGGCATCCTCGCCATTTTGTTTTGGTTCTGTTGTAACGTGAATAAAGACAAGGCTGTTTGTTACTCCTGCTTCGTCTCAATGCCTTTTACTGGAAAACAGAATACTTGCCTTGTAAAAAATGACCATATTTTTAGACATGCTTTTATTTGCATGAAGAAACGGGGGTATTTTTGGATGGGTGCAAAGAAGAAATTGACTTTCTCACACATTGACTGAAAATATCATCTATTCATATTCTTAAGAGTTTCTTTTCCATTTTTTTCATATCAGTCTTACTAAATTCAAAGAAACTGGGTGGGGGGCACTTCTCGCAAGGCTACTGTTGCTTGGCCTGTCCATGTTTGATTTTGTTAAGCCATTCCTAAAAATACAACCTATGCTTTTTTTTTAATTTAATTTTTTTTATTTGTAATAGAATTAAAACAAAAATGGACAAGCGTGACATTCCAGAGTAAGTATTTCAAATAGTTTGTTTCTCGTGGTACAAAAAAAATAATACACCATTCTTAACCTCTATATAAGCCTCATCCTTCTATGTAATACAATTAAATATACAATTATATGTACAATTATATATACATTTCAATCCTATCATTAACTTGAGATCCAAGCAGTTCTTCTTAATTCATACCAGCGGTAAAATTTGTCCCAGATTTTGAAGTATTCGACAAGATGAACAGATCAAAAGTTTAGAGATTAAGAAAGAGACATTCAAAATACAAGCCTTTGCAGATGATTTAGTTTTTATAATTGAAGAACCATTATAATCAGGGATAAGATGATGGAAACACTGAGTAGATATGGGGAAATAGCAGGTTTAACGGTAAATAAAGAAAAAACTAAAATGCTTGTCAAAAATATGACCAAAATACAGGAAAATGAATTGGCTGACAGAATAGGTGTTCAAATTACAAACAAAATTAGATATTTAGGGATACAATTGACTGCCAGATGCGCTACACTTAAAAAGGATAATTATGATAAGTTAATAGAACAGATCTTGATATTTGGTCTAACCTACAGCTCTCCTTTATGGGCAGAATTGCAGTGATTAAAATGAACGTATTGCAGAAAATCTTATTCTTGTTCCAATGCATACCTATCAAACTAGAAAAGAATTCTTTTCAAAATTTGAATAAAATGATGCTCAAATTTATCTGGCAAGGAAAAAGAGCAAGGATTAAACTAAAATTATTGCAGGATTCAAAGGAAAGGCGGGGATTTGGCCTTCCAGACTTGGAGAAATACTACCAGGCTATAGCACTAGTATGGGTAAGAGATTGGATATTATTAAAGAACAGGAGACTATTATGTCTGGAGGGCCATGACCTACAAATAGGATGGCATGCTATATTATGGGATCATAAATATAAAATACATAAATATTTTCGAAGACACTATATTAGACAAGCTCTAATCGATGTATGGACAAAAATTTGGCAACCAATTTATACCCAAGTACCTAGTTGGATCTCACCGTTAGAAATATGTGTACACCCTAAATTTACCCAATTAGATAAGATCATAACATATAAAAATATCTTAGATGAAAGAGGGGAATTGAAATCCAGGAAAACCCTCCAGGATGAAGGGATAGAAATAGAATGGTGGGCATACCTGCAACTGCAGGCGAGATATTGGAAAGATAAAAAAGAGTTAGGCATTAAATTAGAACCAATAGAATTGGATAAAATAATATTGGGATCAGAGGATAAAATGATTAAAAAATTATACCACTATTTGTTAGATCTGGCAATGTATGAGGAACAGGTAAAAGTGACTATGTTAAAATGGAGCAAGGATTTTGATCTTAATTTTGATCTGCACATCTGGCAAGAACTATGGGCAAGAAACAAGAAGCTTACTTTGGCCACCTCTTACAAAGAGAACCTCTACAAAATGTTCTATAGATGGCATCTCCCACCCACAAGATTAGCTAAAATGTGTCCTAATGTCTCCTCTAAATGTTGGAAATGTAATCTGACAATTGGAACATACTATCATATGTGGTGGGAGTGCATGCGAGCTCCTGATTTTTGGAATAGGATCAAAGAATGGTTGGAAGAAATATTAGAGCGAGCGGAAGAGCCAAAACCAGAACTTTTCCTATTAGGTATAACCACGCAAAAATACAACAAAGGCGTTCTTTATTTAATGTTACACATTCTAACGGCTTCCAGACTGGTCTTTGCTCAAAATTGGAGGAATAAGAGAGTTCCAATGGAAGAAGAGATCCTGTATAAAATCCTTTCATGTACTGAGATGGACAGGCTTACAATGATTATGAAAATACAACCTATGCTTGTAATCTTGGGCCATGAGCATCATTGGCTGGGTTCGCACAATGCAAAGAGCCAGGAGCTTAACTTTTTTTTCTGGCTCAACAGATTTGCTTAGTTTTTGAATGGCCTACTGGGATTCAGCTATAATAATAATAAAGTTGGAAGGGAAATTACAGGTCATCTAGTCCAACCCCTTGCTCAGGTAGGAAACCCTATACCATTTCAGACAAATGGCTGTCCAGTCTCTTCTTAAAAACTTCCACTGTTGGAGCATTCACAGCTTCTGGAGGCAGATTGTTCCACTGGTTAATTCTTGGAGCTGGGCCAGACACTCAGTCTGACTTAATTTTATCTACATCAAATGTTAATAAAAGTTAAATTATAGTTCTTTTCTATTTGATGGCTTCTCACCCCTGCTTTAGATAACAGTGCATAAATAACTCTGCTAGATTGACCCAAATGTATCTCAGTCCAAGATTTTGTTTCTCGCAGTGCCCACTAGATACTGTGGGGGTACTCACAAGCAAGAAATGAGGGCATCCCCTGCACCTGATAGTTGGACCGTACTTCCCCCAACTTGGAAGCATTCATGATTAATAGCCCTTACTGCACCTGTCCTCATTGGGTCAAAAATCTATCCAAGATGATTATCACTATGTTAAATAGTATTAAATTAAACAGGTTAAGAACAATGTATTTGATCTGTAGATGAATGGAAGGGCCAAGGTAGTCTTATCCGAAAATGAGTCCTGTTAAAGGACTGCAGAGGAAGGACTACCTAAGATGGAAGCCGAGTTCTCAATAATAGCAAAATCAAACCTAGCTCAGTTTAGGTTATGTAACGATCTGAACTCTGCTAGCAATCCATCAATGGTAGGAACAAATGTCCATTGGCTTTGCACATTGCATTAGGCGATTGAACAGGTTGGTTTGTGAGCTTCATTTCCATCCTTCAGAATTTTTTTTTCCAATTTCCCACTCTAGTAGTATTCTTTCCATCAAGTCAGACCTTTTTCTTTTCCTTTTTTTTCTAATTTATTGACTTTTTAAAACATAAATCACTTAATAATTGGTGAACAGTGTGTTTTCTGGGTTTACGTTTGTAAAACAATCACTAACAATTGATTTCTATAATCCATAATCCACTTAATAGTTTTAATTGATTTCCTCTTTTCCCCAAAATATCCTCTTTTGCAAACATTGAGCTAATACAATTCTTAATGATTTGATAGATAACAATTGAATATATTTTACCAATATTCCTAAAAAGAATAATCACATCAATATAATATTTCTTTTCTATCCAATCATTCTGGTTGCCTTATCATAGATCCTGTTACAGTCCTTATTTAAATTTGTTTCTCCCACAAGATTCTAAGTATTCTTACTGGTTAAGATTTTCTCAAAACCTGATTACATCATCTCACACTTTTACATTTCTTAAATGTTTCTTTTTTAAGTATTCTCCCTTGTAGGTCCCATCATCATTTTCCCAATTATTGTGATATTTTTCCCACTAGGGTTAAATCATGTTTCCTTGTTTTGTTAAGTTCCATCTTTAAGTCTCTATTCTCAATTTTGTATCCATTTATCTGTTTTATCTGTTCCTTCTCTGTTGTTATTTTCTGAGAATTTTTGTTGTAGACTTAACTTGGAAATAGATTGATTTATATTTTCAAAGTTATTTTGGATTTCTTTGTGGTTTAAAATCATTGTTGTTTGAATTAGTTGCAGTATACAATATATCTCCTTCTGTGGAGTATTTATGTTTTCCTGATATATTCTTTCTACATGTCTCTGATCCATGATGGCCAAGAATTTGAGTTTTTCTCTTCTTTTCTTTTCTCTGCAAACAGTTTAGAGTCCCAATTAAATAGATATTTGTAATCCAAATAGTTCAAAAAAGATTTTTTCCCTGAAATTTATAATTCTCTTTGTTTACAGCCCAGATTATTGTCTCTCTTTTTTGTCACAGCTTTGAAGGTCACAAACACAAATTAGCTTTTCCCAGGTTTTCCAAGTCTTATATTAAAGTCACAGCTCTCATAGTCTTCATCCACCACTAGGTGTCAGCATCTGTTTTTCAATTTTCAAAATCTTTAGAATGAGAGTTTTAAGCATTCAACAATTTTAGATTTATTCAGATTTTAGTTTTAAATTTCAGGTTTTATATTTGTTTCACTTCCATATATTTTGATCCTCCATAAAATGTTTAATTTGCCACTTCTGTTAGTATAAGGGTGGGGAGGAAATCCCCCTCCTTTCCTTTCAGAGGTATTTTGCTTCTTGGAGATCTTTTCCAGGAAATTAAATATAGAATAGAAAAGAGAAGATCAAATGCCTCACTCAGTTTCAAGCACGCAAAACTGGAAGTCCAGGTCAGACCTTCTTCAGCTTTTAAGCCCAGTTGTTCAAATGCTGCCATTTAACAGGCCATCCCTTTGCAAAACCAAAGGGTCAGAAAACAAGTGACTATTTATATGATTTTATTGCTGTGGATACCTGAGAATTTACATGAAAACATGATTCTCAAAAGATTCTATTTAGTGATTGGGAAGTGGGGCTTAATCTGGGATCCTTTTTAGGCAACAGTGGGACCCGGGTATATGGATATGTTTATGGGGTGACTGCATGACTCCATATGAGCGTATTGTAAATGCCACAGAAGTATTAATAGAAGAGAATATTCTAGCACTGATGATGTTACCTAGCTGGGTAATGAAACATCTGCAAGAAGACAAGCTCAGAGAGCATCAAGGACCCCACTATCCCAGAAGTGGACAGAAATGGAAAGATATTCAGAGGTTAAAATATTTGGAATGGACCATTTATTGCACCTCACCCTAAAAGTAGGCCTCATTTTACTGAGATTGTTTTATACTGTTAAATGGGACATGATCCCTGCAGCACTATTTTGAGCATTTCTTACTCCAAAGAAAGTCCTATTTGAGTCTTAAAAAAAGCTTACTGCCTGGGAATATATTCCAATGCAGTCGGATATGGTTAGGGATATAGAAGAGATGTACTAATATGTTACATTTTCTCTTAACTTTTTCAAAAGTTTTCATGGGGGGCAAGTTGCAGCTGTATTTCCTGTAATAATGCTCTGGATCCACTCAGTATAATCAAAGACCTTGATGTAGAGGGAAGGCACATGAGGTTGGGCACAAGGATCGCCCCCCACAGATAAAAGGCCCTGGATTTCTCCATTACAGATGAGGGGTCCCCCAGAGTCACCCTGTTGAGAAAAATCAAACATGAAACATTACTACCGTATCTATGAATGGAAAGTGGAGAAAACAATTCCCTCCCATCGTCCATTCATATATAGCCCCCAATGTTTCTCTTCCATGTTCCCCAATCCAGGATCCTTGTAGAAGAATTTAACTCCTTGAGTTTTCTCCAACCAAAATCACCAATATTGGGAAGTCTGGAAATCTAGACACCTAGAAGGCACTTGAGTTAGAAAAAGCCGTAACTTTGTATGATTCTACAAGATGCCTTCAAGGCTAGATCTCTGTCATAGCATTGAAACTTAGCATCATTTCTTTAGGAGTCTGTCTTAAAATGGATCATCTTACCCCACATGTATCTTTGCCTCCTTCCAGGATACCTGCACACAATACTCTGCTTTTCTCCAGCAACCCTGGGTAAATTGCTCGACACACTGCATGATCGAGTATGTTAATGTTAGCACAATGAGGGACATCAGGATAAGTCTCTGAAAAAAATAAAAAGTAGGCAAAATTCTACCTTTCACAATTTACCGCCTAGATGCATAGAACTATAATTTCCATTGTCTCCAACCAGTGGAGCTGATCTCATTGCCTGGAATAGGAAGTATTGTCTTTCAAAGCTGTTCAAAGGGACTCCTGGGAAAAACAGATTTACTTAAATGTTTGCACAGGATGTTTTTGGTCAAGATATTAATAGGTCTTAAATCAGCTGATGGGCATTTGAAGGCTTCTCACATTTCTCCGGCACTCTACGCAAAGATTGCCTTGTTGGAAAAGTGGTTCTTTTGCTAGTTCAAAAGTCACAGAACTGATCTCGCATCCCCTGGAGATGACCTAGAACAGCTTTCTCCAAACTTGGCAACTTTAAGACTTGGGAACTTCCACTCCCAAAATTCCTCAGCCAGCATACTGAAACTTCCATATCTGAAGATGAAGCAGACCCATAAGTTTGTATTGTGTACAAGAACAAAAAGCCAGGAATCTTGTCTAAAAGATCCCTTGGGGAAGACAGATGAGGTGGAAATAAGTCTAAGGAAACAAAGGAAAAAAGTCATCTGAATCAGACAAAGTGGAGCCTGAAAATATGGAATAAACCCCAATCCCAGCTAATCAACAAATCAAGAACCTTTCAGGATAAAAGGGGGTCCTAAAGCTCACCCACTCCTTGAGTCATTTTGGATCCACAATTTAGGAGTTTCTGTCCCTCTAGCTGGTGCCGGGCAGCCTAATTGAGGAGGATGTGTCTAAACATGGATGGGTGCATGTGTGGGTATGAGAAAGAGGAAATTTACATCACAAGCAGTAATGTTTTGCTGTTATTTTAAATTCACTGGATCTCCATGTATTCCAAAAAAACTGTGGTGCCTCAGTGTTTAATTGAAAATTATTTTTGTGAGTCCTTAATTATTTCCCAGCTCTTGATCAAGGCTGTGTAACTTGTCTGCTCTATCTATTTGATAATAACCTAAGTAGAAAACAAGATGGGCTTACAAGATCTACCTACCTTGACAGACTTGAATATGTGGATGATCATAAGCTAAAGCTGAGAGTGCATGTAACACTTCCATGGCCTTAATAGCAATAGCACTTAGACTTATATACTGCACACTCTCTGGGTGATTTACAATATCAGCATATTGCCCCTAACAATCTGAGTTCTCCTTTTATCAACCTCAAAAGGATGGAAGGCTGAGTCAACCTTGAGCCCCGCCAGGATTGAATTCCAGGTTAGGAGCAGAGATAGCCTGCAATACTGCATTCTAACCACTACACCACCAGACTTAGAAGGAAGAAATCCTCCGCAACCATCCACAGAGAGTTTATATCCATCCAAGGATAGACCACGTTTTTGAGTTCATATTTGGTATTTTGAGAGCAAGAGATAAATATACTCTGAAAACATCATCTGTGGGAGACTTCTCCATTTCCAAAACAGCCATGGCCATTCACAAAACACCCCATTATTAAAGGTAATGAAGCCAGGCAAGACTGCCATGCTAATGGGACTTTTCTGATTCCCAACAGCACTGCTATAAATAAACCTGATCCTATAGTTGTTTTTTTTTAGCTATACAGCATGTCAGTTCCTTACTTATTTCTTTTATTCCAAGGATCTTGTGGGTGTGGAACTGATGAAGAAATGGAATCTTAGGGAATCCCATTGTCCATCCATATTCCAATATTCATGGGTGACATAGTGGGATCCTAGACCTAGTTGGGTCTGAGAATATAGACAGAGATCCCTACCTTTAGTAGGTGAGATTGTGCCCCATCCCATAATATTGCAAACTGTGTCCTGACTGGGAGGCTTGGAAGGCAAGCTGAGAGGCGCAATGTGTTTACTGTTGTTAACAGGACGGTTCAGCCTGATCAACATGATGTCCTTGTCCCATTCCTTATTGTTTTTGCTACTAAGACAAAAGAACTTCTCCTTTGGGACTCTTGTCTGCTTATCCTTGTTTGGTACCTTTTTGCTATGCAGACCAAACTGTAACTTCATTTTTTTCCTACAAGAAAAACAACAAGTTAACAACAACAACTTAAAGTAAACTCTATATTACTTGGGATGGTCCTTGACCTCATTTTGGCCCTCAAGCAGGATCATTTGCGCCAAACAAGAAAGGGCCATAACATACCTTCTCCAACGGTGTTTGAGGGAAAAACCTGCCTGAAACCTGGAAAAGTTACAGTCAATGTCCTAGAGATCTGGGTTCATTCAAGAAATTTATTCAAGTTGATTGAATAAGCTATTTCCATTGTTTATGCAAGTGTGAATTCACCTGTATGCTGCTTAGTATTCAGAAAGCTCAGCATATAGTATGAATCCATCTCTTCCTTGACATGGATGTGTATTGTGTGAATGTTGCACTTATAAATTATAAATGACTGTTAAAGATAGAACCCATGTGGTTACAATACTAATGTTATGACTTTCAATTGTGCACATCCTCTCTCAACCCAGCCTATCTCAAAGGATGGTGGTATAGATAAATATGAACCAAAATCTGGATGGTGCCCACTCTGCTCTTGTTTTGAAGAGGTATTAAGATGTAGTGCCTCACCCAGGCCTTTGATAAGGAAGAGAGAAGCCTCTCACTTCATCATCTTTTTATCTTTTTTGTTTTACTGGTTTTTTTAAAAAAAATGATTTTCTTGGCAATGCCCCACAGTCAGGCAGCATATGGTTAATATTTTTTGGTCAGTTGCACAGTCAGTCAGATATTTAGACTGGATTTGGCATTTTTATCCACCTATCAAGTGCTTCCCAAGGACCTGGAGTAGGTAAATTTTGTGGTTCCATGGCATTAAAGGGATTGTCACAGGATGTTCCAAGTAAGGCTGCCTTTTGCAATTGACTGTGGTGATTTTGTCAGTGATGATGGTATTTGGGTAATGTTTCAGATTTTCTTATTCTTGTTATTATTATATCCCAGAAAACAGGAAAGAAATGAATAATGTGGTGAAGAAGATGGAAATTCAACCATAAATATAAACAGCATTGCTCAAGATATGATTGTGAGGAGCAATAACAGAACACTCATTCAAAATGCACAGAGAAGTCACTAAAAACTAGTAGAAACATTATAAAAAAATCTGGATATCTAAACACGATTTCCCTCAACCCTTCCATGTTCTATAATGCCCTCACCCGTCGCAGTGTGCAGCGGTGAGCATCCATTCCTGGTTGATCAAAGTCCCACCACATTGAATCCCGTCAGAGTACACGAGTACAAGGGAACGATGTTCATTTATGTTACATTCATCACCTCCAATGACCAGAAGACTTTTGTGCTACAAAGAAACCAAAAACATTCAGTGTTTGGCTGTGGAGTAGAACAGAATCACTTTTATTGGTAGTGTTTCTATCAGTACACTAATTTTGATGGGTAAACAGATGACTGTCGGACACACAGCATCAAACCAGTTGAATAAAATGGATTATTTGGAAATCATATATGTGCCTATGCCCATGTAGGTAAACTACTTGTGAATCTTAAGTGATTAATATTTGTGTGTGTTTATATTTATATACACACACATATACTTTTGAGAAAGGGCATCAGAATTTCATTTTTAACGTGTGCCAGTGTGTTCATAGAAAAGTGACAATAAATTTATCCTGTCTTATCTTAAGATAAAAACTCAGTTTGAGTGACTTAACCACTGTAGCAAGAAAGGTCATAAAATGGGACAAAACTCACTAAACAGACTCAGTTAAGCAACAAAAATTTTGAGACTTCTAGTTTTGCACCCGTAGCTCATGGCTATGTGAGAATGGATCTCCGCTCCCCACAGCTAATTTCGTCCTTCCAAGGGGACCCTAGATGGGTCTGAAGTCACCCCGAAGAGGTGATTGTGAAGGAAGGGTGCATCGTTGATCACAAGCATCAGCAATTGCTTCGTTTGATACAGGGAAAGCCCTCCAAACCCGTCAAAAAAAGACTAGCCACATGCCAGCCTCTAGCCCAAGCTACCTTTAGCCAAAAACCCAGAGCTCTAACAAGAACAACAGTGAACAATGTATTTGGAATTGGTGAGAGTATTTGATCTTCTCTCCCTTATTTTGCAATTAAGTCCCTGGGAAAGATCCCCAAAGCAAAAAACCTCTGAAAGTAAGGGGAGGGCACTATATTCTCATTTCCCCACAGACAGAAGTGGCAAATTAACTTTTAAGGAGGAAAGAAACATATTGAAATTAAATTTAAAATACTACAATCTGATCAAACATAGAAACTAAAACAAATTGCTAAGATTATATTCTAAAGGATTTTGATAAAATTATATATATATAAAGAAAAATAAGAAGAACTTGTCTGAAAGAGATGGAAAATAAATATTTACTGACATCTAGTGGACAATTAGAATATAGCACATTAAAGACAATGCCCAGAAACAATGAAAAATCTATTCCCATGAACTCTATTAACCTTTAAGAAGATAGTTGCCAGGGAACAAAGAAGAGATTGTATACTGGGAAAGCTATAAGACTTTAAAGTGTTTTGAAGGAAAAGAAATACTTTGATTATGGTCTAAATTTATGAATTGTTTAAAAACTCTGATCTATGACTAACTTTTGAGAGGGAAAGTTACAAGAAGGATTTAAGGTGTCTAAATATATTGAATTGCAATTCTGACTACTTGACAATTGACTCCTGAAAGAAAGAATTGTTATAAAACATTGATTTTACTGAAACCTTGACAATTGAAAATTACAGTGGATTATAAAAATTATATATAAAGATAAGAACTATACAAAATTGGACTGTTTGGATTTTGAGTTTTGGCCAGCTTGACAAGACTAATTACAGAGACTATGGCACTTACAATGGTTTACTCGAAAGGGGGAGATAACATGGATATGACATATTCATGAAAAAATGACGGAAAACCACACTTAATATCTACTCTTGAAGGATTTAGCTAGATCAAAGACCTCTAGAAGCAACATTTCAAGACAAGACAAATACTTTCCAAAAAGAAATTTATGCAACGCTACGACAGATACAAATCACAATAGCTCTAAACCACGAGGAGATTAAACATAACTTTGACAACATAAATGAATGCACTTCTAACTTAAATTTACAATAAAAAAATTCAAAGAATTGGTAAAGAATGAACAAACAAATCAGATAACAGAATGTGAACTAGAAAAAAATGACTTAATTGGCAAAGTCACAAATAAAAAAAACAATATGGAAATATGGAATAAATAAATATGGAAAAGATACCTTATGCATTAGAACATCAAAATAAACCTGAGAAAAAAGAAGACTTAACAAAATGGACACTGTTAGAAGAATCATTGTTTGGGAGATAAAAAGTATACAGCTTGCGTATTATGTATCCTCTACACCAAACAACAACTACAAAAATACAAGAATTATTTGAGAAGTCAAAAATATTAATCTGGAAAACAATTTGGCAGAGGAAAAAGATTAGAGATGGGCTCAAGAGACTTGACTCACCCTACCAGATGGACTATTATACGAGCAAACATTTGTTTGAATATTGCTAAATAAATAAATAACTTAGGCTATAAAGAGGCTTTAAAATAAGTGGGATAAGAGATATAAGTAATATAGTATTTTTTGATAAGATACAAAATGTAAAATTATTGGGATGATGAAAGTGAAATAAATGTTTGAACTTTAAAGACAAATTAAATTTGAAAAGATTTAGGATTAAGGAATGATTGAAATACTGAGGGGGAATTAGGCTTAATAAGAACTTTGAAAAAAGGATATTCAATCAATTTTTATGAATAGAAGTGAAATTTAAATTGATTAGAAAAAATGTTATAGGTACATGTTATGATAGAGAAGTAGTATAGTATTTCTATAATATATGTAATATGAAAATACTGGGATGATATATTTAAGAGGAAAATTTGGATATTTAGATGTTAATTATTGAGAGTTATGATTGATAAGAATTGTTTGAAAATTATGGAGAAATTGACCTTAAACAAGATTTATGCAAATAAGATATATGGTGAATCAATAAGATGACTTTTATGAAAATAAATTAAGCTGATAAGAAAAAATAATGCTATATATAATGCTATATATTATTGTTGGTATAAATATAGAAGACAATGCTTTTATTTAATCGTTTATATATGGAAAATATCAAATATCAAAAATTTTATTTGCTTAATGCTGAAGAAGGAGAATACTATTGGGAGAAGAAAGGCTCAAGGAAATATATTATCAATTGATATACTAATTATGGAAATATAAAAATTAATTATTATTGACTGTTAATTAAGTATTATTGATTGTATATATTTTTTAAAAAAATCATGAACCAAGAAAACCTGCTATACACCAAAACTAAGATTGTTATTGTAAAAAATCAATAAAACTTTTACCAAAATAAATAAATAAATTGTGGTCGTAAGGTTGAGGACTACCTGTAGATGGCTAAATCTGACTTTGCAGGTCTGTACAACTATACTTTCCATACTTTTTTGCACACCACTTAGGATGCTTGCACTGGAACCAAAACTGGGATCATCTTAGTCAAACCAGGACATAATGCAAACATAAACAGCAATTCCTGATTTCAGGTTTACCATCCAAGAGAAATTAAGTAGAAACAAAAAGGAATATTTGATTTTCAAGCCTCAGATTTAAATATTAATATTCTTCACATATCCAGTAATGCTGCAAATAGGTTAAACAGCATGATTCTGAATAGCATCAGCCATTTTGATGGCTGAGATCGAAGGCATCTGGCCTTATGAGAAGCTATGGCATATTTTCTTTCACTTCTCCATAAGATATACGGTGAATCAATATGACTTTTATGAAAATAATGCTATATATGTATGGTATTATTATTGGTATAAATATAGAAGACTGCTCAGTAACTTAATGGTATCACTGCCAGTCAGTTTACGCTAATCAGTTGAAATAAGAAGAATAGTTCAGATGAGCTTCTAAAAAGAAAGGAGATTTAGAAGCATTTGGTCCAGAGTCTGATCTTGCTGTACTTCATTATTAAGCAAAATATATGGCCTCGTGATGAGGAGAATAGGGGGCAGAAGGAGTGAAAGTGGGGAAGAGATTGATGAAAATGGAATTTATTCTATGAGTATGGATGGGAAGTTGATAACATTAGTATTTAGTTCACTAAAAACAGTTTGAGTCAACATTGATGGCAGTAAAATCCCTATATACCGGTTTTGATATTTGTTTCAGAAGCAATGACCCAGATATTGCATGCTGTATAATGCAGCAAATCTAACAGAATGGGAGCTAGGTTAAATCCAACAGATTTATTTTACCACTTTGGACAAAAATCAATGGCCATCTCGTACACCATTTTTTAAAGACCCCCTTAACACTGAAAACCCTTCCCCAACTTTTTTCTCATTGCGTCTTATATTAATTAATAAGTTATCTTCCTCTATTGAAGTCAGTTGCCAAATAAATAGAAACACGAAAGGAAGCTGACCATATTTGGGATTATATAGTTTTAACTGGCTAGTTTTGCTGATATGAATAAATGTATCAATTCATACTATCATTACAAATACAGCAATGGTCTTCCCCATTTGCACCAACCGGGACTTCTTCGCGCACTCTCTACTTGTGACCTGCTTGTACATCTACAGTTAATAATTACATGCAAGTTTATTCCTGTAACTTAAGGTTTAAACCGAAAAACACACCTAAAGCTCCGTCCACCCTTTGCTCCATTGTCCAGACTCTTACCGTAAGAAAGCTCAGAAGGTTTGCTAGCACTCTGATCAGCACCATAGCTTCAACTCTGCACAGCAAGCTGTTTGCCTGGAATTTAGAGATAGGGAACAATTTTGGCGAGAATGCACAGTTCAAAATATTTGATTAATCACTTTATTCTCTTCCACTCTGAGGCAGAAGGACAGATGTGGAAAAAAACGCCAGTTTCTCACCTTTAAGATCCCAGTCCCTTACTTAAACTTCAGATATTGTATCAATCTAATCAGATAACCCAAGCGGAGACTTCTTTATCAAGCAGCACTTTATTTGATCAAATTAAGCAGCTGGGTGGCCAACAATCTGGAACGCTGGCAGAGTCACGTCCAGAAGTGCCACACATTAGAAAGTTGGTAGAATTGCTTTATCAACTTTGTTACCCAATGAAAATCAGACAACAGAGCCAAAAAGCAAGAAACCAACAGTTAGACTAAACAATTTCCCTTTGTTCCAGAACCCTTCATATCCTTATGTAACTTGGCTCTATATCATGCAGCCTGAACAGTGGTGGGATTCAAATATGTGAACAACCGGTTCTCTGTGTGGATGCCACTTGCGGAAATCTGTTCTGGGCCTGGGCAATCAAAAATCAGGTACGGGTTCTGCCAAAGTGATGTGTACCAGCTGAATCCCACCACTGTATTTGGATGTGTTGGAGGGCAAAATGGTGGATACAGGGAGGTTTTGTTTATTATTATTTTGGAGACCCAGGTGTTGGACAATACACAGTCTTATAGATTCTTAAGCTTATATACAGTTCTGTTTTAAGGGCACTTCTGGATCCTAGAGTAGGTGTATTTTCAATTTTTTTTTCCTGGTAGATTTCCATTGCTGTGAGAAAGCTATGAATGCTAAAGGCTCTGATCCCTATGTCTGTCAGTGGTATAAAAAAGTATACTCATCCCTGTGCCCTTCTTTTTGGATAAGTCTGGCTAAAGCATTTTTGTATAATAAACCAGTTGGGGACAAAGGAAGACACTCATTAAAAGATCTCTCCTTTTTCAGTGGATCAGCCATGAAGAGTCAGACCAAAATACTTTGTAGTAAAGCACTAGAATCCCTGGCATATCAATCATGGGTGTTGCAGTTCCAGTCCATCTGGGAAACAATTGATTACCAACTCCACACCATCAAAAACCTCCATTCAGAATTGTATTCAAAATATTTCTTGTCCCTCTCTTTCAGGACATAATTGAGAAGCATAATTGTATGGAAGAGTTACAGTTCTAACGGCATCACTCTTATTGGAATCCCGCTTCTGGAAGTCCATTCTCGGCCTAGGCAACAAAAAATTAGCTACTGGTTCTGCCGAAGTGGTGCAAACTGGCTGAATCCCACCACTGAGCCTGAAGCACGAAAGAACACTGATAACAAGACTGGATATGTATCTCTATAAAAACAGACCTTTCCGGAAAGCAAAAAACCCTAATATGTGATTAATGCAGTCTATGTGAGATGTTGATGCAGAATTCACTTCAGCTTTAAGACGGAAGGAAAAGTGAAATTTTTTTTCTTATAACTGGAAATATTTTTAAATCTAAAAAAGCCAGGGCAGTTAGACCATATAAAGGCATCCACACACTCACTTGACCCATTTGTTTGGGTGGTGTAGAGAAACAATTGTTTCCATATTATGAATAGTGGGGGCAACTGATACTAACTTAAGTCCAACAATTTTCAGGGTTGTGACAATGGTTTAAAAACACTCCACATTTTCCAGTCTAGGACCTAATTTTGGAAAAGGAGATCAGGAAAGCTGGCTATGCACAGTCCTGGATGGATGTCCTCCACAGCCGTCATTTGTTTTAATTTGTCTTGTTTAAAATTAGCCTTAACATTTAAATTTCATCCTCTCCAGATGCCTGGACTTCAATTACTGGGGGGAAGGTATCCAGCTATGGTACCGGACTGGCTTAGGAATTCTGGGAGTTGAAGTCCACAAGTCATAAGGGAGCCATAGTTCCCTACCTCTGCTCTAGAAGCAGCTGCACCTTTGGGGTTGGGACCCAACAGGAAAACAAAGGGTGGAGCTAGAGCATCCTTGTGCTTGTTACTCTGATGCTGTTCCAGCCTACCCATCACTGATTCTGGAGTCTTGGTGGCCTCTTCTGCAGCTGAAAGTCACTTTGAGGAAGCTGCTGCTTCGTCGGCCTCATCGCGGTGAGAAGCTGGGAGCTTGATTGCAGCTGGCTGGTGAGAGGAGCCCAGCTGCTCTAGGCCTTGCTTCCATCCTTGGAGGGAGTTCCCTGACGGTGCCGACCCTTGGGAAGAGTGCGGGAAGGCCTAGTGCTCCGAGCGTCTCCATCCCAAAGGGGAGACACACCTGTCCAGGTCTTTGGGTCACAGGCTGCCTCCTTCTGGCCATTGGCATGTCAGTTTGGGGGGTGGGTAGAGATGGGAGTTCTCCCACCCCAATTTTTCCAGTTTTTTTCCAGGCCTTCCCATCTCAAGGGGTGAGGAAACTTGGAGTCCAGTGGATGGGTGGCAGCAAGAGGTGGAAGCCAGGGACCTTCAGGAGGTTTGGACCTCAAACAGCCAGAATTCTGTTTCTGTTGATGGGGAACCTGCCTTCCCTTCCCCGGTAATCCGTAGAGGAAGGGGCTCATGCAGACAGTCCTCCTTTCCTTGATCATCTCCCCTTTTTATTCTTGGCACCCTCCCTAATTATTACAAAAAAGGGGCTCAGGGAGGGAGGGAGGGAGGGAGGGAGGGGGTGGAGGAGGTCGGTTTGGGTGAAATCTGCCCTCTCAATTTGTCCTGGGCAGAAGAAGTTCTTTCCACTCAGACCAAGCCCTTTGTGGCCTCACCCAAAGAGTCTTCTCTGTAATATAGGTAGTCCTCGACTTAATGACCACAGCTGAGCCCAAAATTTATGTTGCACAAGTGAGAAATTTGTTAAGTGAATTTTGCCCCATGTTATGACTTTTCTTGCCACATTTGTTAGCGGATCACGGCAGTTGTTAAATTAGTAAAATTAGTTATGTTAGTAACACCGTTCTTAGGTGAATCTGGCTCCCCCCATTGACTTGGCTTATCAGAAGGTCACGAAAGATGATCATGTGACTCCGGGACACTGTAGCCAGCATAAATAGGAACCAGTTGTCAAGCATTGGCACGTAAATTGCATGATTGTGGAGAAGCTGCAATGGTCATAAGTGTGAAAAATGCTGTTGTAACTTTGAACATTCACTATGAACTGTAGTAAGTCGAGGGCTTCTGGTAGCAAAAGAAAACTGTTTGGAAAGAATGTGCACCCAAGCAGACTTAATACAAAAGGTAACCTTGCAGCCGAGTGACACTATTCCACAAGTTTAATAAACCATCATCATCGTTAGTTGGGGGATTAGGTAACAGTATTGGCCCAGATAGCTTGTCTTGTCTTTTCATCATAGATTAGCACTTACATGAAGATTAGGAACATTGGCAAGAAGGTTAGGGTACATCAGATTTGGGCATCAAGGTCCTCCCCCCCCCTTGCTTTTGCCTTGATTTTGCTAAAATAGCTTGAATTTCTAATAGCAGAATTCACACAAAAGCTGGGATTGCCTTGAAATGGAATGGGGCAGTAACTATGGTTTGGTGAATGGTGGGAAGCCACTGTTTTATCATGTCAGTCACAAGTGAAGCCCTCATACAATTGTTTTCTTTGGGCATCAGATATTGTGAAAACACAACTGTTCGGGAACCCGAATTAAGATGCTTTTTAACTCAAGTCCAGGCAGTTAACTCAACAAAATGGTTTTAAACAAATATTTAATTCTGGAATTCTTAACAGAACTTACAATTCTGAAGAGGCTTCCAGATGCTGTACATTTGTCCATTTACATAGGTAGAAACAATAATTCCTCCATATCAACTCTAGCGTGAATTAAAATGGTTTCTCTCCTCATGCATTCCCATGCTCATTTCAGACAAAGACATTCCTTCCAAGCTGGCACTAGCCAGGATATCCTGTGATGAACTTAGTAGCCCCTCCCACTGACTTGTTAACACAGGATTCACTGAGCAGCTAAAACTACATTACCCATAAGCCATCTCTTAAGGAGACAGAGCTTAACCCTTTAAATTCCAAACATTCTAACATACAGTTCTCGTAGCTAATACATGCTCTGGCCAGGTGATTACATTACCAGTCCAGCACAACAACATCTGTTTTGTATCTGAGCATAGGCTGCTCTTGAATCAAGCTAATGTGTATAAATCTTCAGTACTTAATACTACAGTAAGGGGCACACTGTATCACATGTGGCATGTCATTTTTGTTATTGTTTTCCTGTCTGCAGGCAAGATACCTTTGTACCTTTCATTTCCCCTCCCCCCAGATAATTATTTTAGGAAAGGTGCTCTTCTGTTATGTAAAGTGTCATGACATCTCAATTAAAGGGACACAACTAGTAATTTAATGAAAACTTATGCTTTCTTCCCATTATTCAATTGAAATATTTTGGGAGCTGCTTAGAAATTATCACTTTGGTAGATACACATTTTTTTCCAACTGCATCTAGATTGAACAAATAAATAAGCAAGATGTTTATTTAGTCATCTGTTCAAGGTTCAGATGTTTAATCTGATTATCCTACCAACCATACCCATTTTTATTATTTTGGGCCAAAGCCAGCAAGCAGAACTGCAGAATAAAGTATCTGCTTCCAATTTCTTGACATGTGAGCATTCTGAGGCCTTGTGTCATATATATCATTTATGTTCAGTAGGCGAGAATATATATCTAGAACTGATTTACTAAAATCTAGCTTGTCTGCTGTAAAGTTTAAGGATGAAACCATATCTCCAGTCTATTATCAGAAGGTTTTTTAAAACGGAGAGACATATTAATGTATTAGATTAAAATAGCTGTTGGTCACTGGTAAGGATGCCGAGGCTTTTTTCTATTTAGAAAGAAGGAGTTCCAGACATATTTCTATAACTGATGTGAGCAGAAGATTTGATTTGTTTCACTCACTGCAGCTAGGAGAATCAGATTGTACCAGTAGTCCTTGACAGCCAACTCAGTTGTTAAACAAAACTGTTACTAGGTCTGTTGAGTCCTCGGTTAATGGCAATGATGGCGCAAGACATTCTTGTTGTTTCAAAAACACTTTATTGGTCTTCAGTAGCCCCGTTACAACTCAAGGCAGCACAGATCTCTCAGCCTCTCTTAAGGACGTTCCCCGGGCCAAAAAGATACATTTTGGCACGCCTCGCGCCTCGTGCATGCGCGTGAGGCTGGCGCCGACCAGTCTGGTCCCGGGCAGCTTGCAGCTGCCCAGGACCATTACAATGTCCCGAGCCTGCCTTTGCAGGCTCAGGACACAACACCCCTTCCCCCCCCCAGCTAAGACTATATGAACAATTAACGCGACCTCAACACGAGCGTGGTAAATCCACTTTGCTCGAGGTACCAAGCTATTGTTCTGGGCATTACTCCCAGTGTTTCCTTTTCTGGCTTTCACAGAAACACGCTCTTATTGTTTCTGCCTGGCCAATAAGGTTATAAAATCTTCAAGATATTTGGGAGACCTCTTATCTCTCTGTGACCTGCATAGGCCTGGATGATTTCCAAGTACACCTTGTCCCATGGAGGTTATAGGTTCACCCCCCTTCTCAGACCCTGGTGGCCCCCGTGGACCGTGGCCTGATGCCTGACCTGCTTGCTTGCCCACCGGGCTCGTCAGGCCAGGACTTTGCTCTCTCTCTAACCTGGTTGACCTGCCTAGTTGCAGGCGATCTGGCCCTTTTATTAAGCTGCCATCTGAATGGCCTCTCAAGCCCACACTGGACCTAACGTGAGGCTGGCTTCCTCCACTTCCCAGTTCCATAGGAGGACTGTCTGTTATTTCAGCATTGTCTCAAAACTCAGTTGCCCCCCTCCATTGTACCAGAGGGTTCAGTGTCTAAAATCGCCCCTTCTCCCACTTCCCTGTGGCAGTGTCCTTCTCTGGGAACTGTGGCTATGTTGGGCCAATTGTATTGATTGTGTGCCAGCTCTCTTGCAATGTTTGAGTTATTAGGATGCTCCCGGTTATTCTCCCTGACTGGAGTGCTGAAAGGTGTAAGTATGTAATGATTATGCCCCCGGGGTGACTCCCTGGCTGGAGTCTGCACTGTAGCCTGTGTGCTAACTCGTTCCCTTGAATTCCTGTTTGGAACATTCGCGGAATCTTGCAATAGGCCGTCTGTGGCCTCACTGTGAGAGCCTGAATTCTGCCAACACCCTTCCCTTTGCCCGTAGGGGTCCCCCTCCCCCCTGGGAATGAACCAGGAGTCTCTGCAGGTGCGTCCAGCCTTGTATGCAGCTGGTCAATATGCCGTCGTAGAATACGACCGTCTTCCAAGGAGACCTCATAAGACAAAGGGCCTGTAACCTTGCAAACAGTGGCAGGAACCCATAAATGGCCTGGCCCGTAGTTACAGGTCCATACTGGGGCCCCCACTTGCAATTGCCGCGGTGCCCTGGGTTGTGTACCCCTAGGTGGCAGTCTGTCCGGGTGCAACCGGTCAAGTTTAGTAATCAGTTTGCGCCCCCAACGAAGTTCAGCTGGGTTCCTCCCGGTAGAAGTGGACGGTGTAGTGCGGTAAGCAAGGAGGAAGTCAGCCAACCTGTGATGCCAGTCCCCATAGGTCAGTCTCTTTAAAGCATCCTTGGTGATGCGGACCATCCGTTCAGCCATCCCGTTGGTGGAAGGGTGGAAAGGTGCAGAAGTGGCATGATGAATCATGTTGGCCTGTAAGAAAGCTTGGAATTCGGAAGAAGTAAATTGTGGGCCATTGTCAGACACCAAAACATCCGGGAGCCCGTGTGCAGCAAAAATTCCCCGCAGTACTTGGATAGTCTTTGCAGTGGTGGTGGACGAGACAGGTACAACCTCAAGCCATTTTGAATAGCTATCAACCAGGACCAAGAAGAATTGACCCTGAAAGGGCCCAGCGTAGTCAATGTGCACCCTAGACCATGGAGACTGTGTTTCTTCCCACCTATGTACGGGAGCCTGAGGCATTTCTGGGCATGAACGTTGACAAAGGTGGCAAGCATGAACCTTAGCCTCAATTTCCTTATCTAACCAGGGCCACCACAAGTGGCTGCGCGCAAGCGCCTTCATTCGAATAATGCCAGGATGACCCTCGTGAAGGGACCCTAAGACTCTAGACCTCATTGAGGTAGGAATGACAACTCTGCTACCCCACAGCAAGCAACCCTGGAAAGTGGACAACTCGTTCCTTTTTAGCCAGAAACTCTGAAACTCAGTACCTGGACAGCTCTCCGGCCATCCGGACAAAACCCAGGATAAGACACAAGAGAGTGTGAGATCTGTGGCTGATTCAGCAGCCACATCCCTGGCGTTGAGAGGTGACTCAGGCAGTGCCTGAATTGAAAGGATGTTGATTGCCGGGGCGGGGTCAGCCTCAACAACCTGTAAGGGTAATCTACTGAGGCCATCAGCATGGCCCATTTCTTTGCCAGGTTTGTGAATTAAGGAAAAGTCATATGCTGACAGGAATATTGACCATCTGAGCATTCTGGGGGATATGATATGAGGGGTCTGTTTGTTAGTTGTGAACAACCCCAACAGAGGCTTATGGTCAGTGTAGATCATGAAATGTCTGCCATATAAGAAATCATGGAACTTTTTAATTCCAGCAACAACAGCTAAGGCTTCCCTGTCAATCTGGGCATAGTTCCTCTCAGCAGAGGACAAGGTTCTGGAGTAATAAGCAACAGGAACCTGAGTTCCATCAGGTCTAAGATGGCTGAGTACAGCTCCTATGCCATAAGGGGAAGCATCACAAGCGATGCACACAGGAAGAGTTTCATTAAAATGTGCAAGCATACTGTTGGATGTTAGCAAGGCCTTAACCTTATTGAAACTAGCTTCATGTGCTTGTGACCATTCCCACACTGCCTGTTTGTCCAGAAGTCTATGAAGTGGTTCAGCTACATTAGCCTTGTTAGGAATGAATGAATTGTAAAAATTCAAAAGTCCCAGAAAAGCTTGCAGTTCAGCTTTGGACTTAGGTCTAGGAGCTTGCGTGATGGCTCTTAATTTGGACTCAGCAGGATGAATCCCATTGGCATCAATTTTGAACCCCAGAAAATCTGTAGAAAGCACCCCAATTTTACATTTGTACTTTTTTAGCTTGAGGCCTGTTTTCCGGAATCTCAGCAGAACAGCCCTCAATCTCTCAGCTACGTTTTGGGTGGAGTCTCCAGCAATTAAGACATCATCAAAATAGGGGCAAACCCCTGGTATACCTCTCAAGGTATTTTCCATTACACTTTGGAAAATTCCAGGGGCCACGTTTACTCCAAATTATAGTCTCTTGACCTTGAATGCTCCCCTATGAGTTACAATGGTTTGTGCCACAGCAGCAGCAGCATCAACAGGCAACTGTTGGTATGCTTGTGCTAAATCAAGCTTTGCAAAAACGCCCCCCCCCCCTTGAGGGAGGCCAGAATATGGCTGACAACAGGCACAGGATAGGCATGTTGTTGTAACGCCTTGTTGAGAGTACATTTGTAATCTGCACAGATGCGAATATCCCCATTAGCCTTAAGAGGCGTGACTATGGGAGTTTCCCATGGACTGGAGTCAACAGGTTCTAAGATTCCTTGCTGAATTAATTTGTCCAATTCAGCATCAATCTTCCCTTTTAAAGCAAAGGGTACCCTTCTTGCCTTTACTCTGATAGGCGTGACAGTGGGGTCCAACTTCAAGGACACTGGGGTTCCCTTGTATGTGCCCAGCTGTGGGCTGAAAACATCTGCAAATTCCTTGCAGACTTCCTGTAAGTCTACTGTTTGCAAACTATTGAGCCCTGTAACTTTTATTCCCAGAGCCTCAAACCAATCGAATCCTATGAGACTCGTACACCCCCCCCACTATCAATACATCTAATGGACCTTCAAAATCCTTATACTGTACATTAAGGGT